AACGCGGAACAAAATGTTCCTGAGACGAAGTTGGCCATGTGAGGTACCAGCGGAAAGCTAGTTTCAAGAGGAACACGGAATACCTGTTTTCCGGGTAAACCTGGCCTGGTAGCTTTCTAAATCGAGCGAAAACCACAGCGAAATCGGCTGCTGAGAATTTGAAAATTCAAATTTCCTTGCCGATCCAGCCCAATCGAGACTTTTGGCTGCCATCTTGTTAAATGTCCAAATTTCGCGAAAAAAAACAGCCGTGCCATACACTTCGTATATATACTCATTCTCTTGATGGTACCGTACTCTTGATGGTACGGGACAGGTATGGGATAGCGCCGGGCATGCTGATGGCACAAAAAAACAAATAATATTGTGGCCAGCTGTCTGTGCTGGTACGGTACGGTACAGGACAGATACGGGATAGCGCCAAGTGTGACACAAACAAACAAACAAACAAACAAACAAACAAACAAACACCAAATTAAAGCTGTGTGGACCCTGGCTAGCGCCAGACGTTACTGAAGTAACGTCTTCTGCATAGCTACGGGAATTAAAGCTGTGTGTACCCTGGCTAGCGCCAGACGTTACTGAAGTAACGTCTTCTGCATAGCTACGGGAATAACGAGAGAGCTTGGAAGCTCAGGGCCCTACGCTATGCTTTTTTGCCTTGATGACCTAGACCAAAAAAAAGCATAGGGATGTTATAAATTCTTTAAAAAATTCCTTTTTTTTTAAGACATAACCTGGGATTCGAACCCGCACTATCGCGCGCCCTGCATGCATCCCCCGATACACGTCGCATACATACTAATTCTTCCAAGTTGTTTCACATTGCGATCTTGCATTTGAAAGCCCTATTTGAATATGCATTGTGTCCAGCCGTCTTTGATGGCACGGTACGGTAGGGGATAGGTACGGGACAGGTACGATCGAGGGTAATACGACACCGTCTCCCGTACCGTACCGTACCATCAAACACAGCTGACCACATACAGCTGCCCGTAATATTCAAATAGGGCTTTCAAACGCAAGATAATAACGTAAAGCAACTTGGAAGAATGGGTATGAATGCGAAGTGTATGGGGAATGCATGTAGGGCGATAGTGCGGGTTCGAATCCCAGGATATGCCTGACAAAAAAAGGAGAATTGAAAAATTTATAACATCTTATGCTTTATTTATTTATTCAACATCTCCTGGCCCGTCCGAAGACTGCCAATAAACATGAGAGGTCAGGTGATAGCCAACCACGGCAAGCTAAAAGGGAAAAAAAAAGAAAGATGCTGTCAGAGAGGGAAAGGAGATAGGGAGAGAAAAAGAAAGGGAGGCACTTTTTTTGCCGTCAGATACGGATAGCGCCAGGCGTGACACAAACAAACAAGCAAACAAACACACAAACACACAAATTCCAAATTTAAAGCTGTGTGGACCCTGGCTAGCGCCAGACGTTACTGAAGTAACGTCTTCTGCTTAGCTACGGGAATAATATATTTGTGATTCACTAGCATGTGGAGTGCAGCAATGCTTTGCGAGCCTGACATTTGCCAAAGTAAAGCTTGATAAACAGTCTCCAAAAGGGATATACTTCTGAAGTAGGTTTTCCTTTGTGTAACAATATTTACTTGAACACTATTCAGCAAAGTATGGATGCTTTATGCCGTTCTCCTGGACTTTCGATGATCTTTTCCTCCGCGCGGTTGCATTTTTGTCAGAAAATATTGCTTTAGCTGTAATTAGGTATGGAAGAGGGAAATGTTTACAGTAGCAGAGTCCTTTCTGGAAAGGGACTCAAAAGTTATTCCAATGGAAGCAAAGGACGTTGTTGAGAACTCCAACACACTTCAGGACCTAGTCATAGCATCTCCGATTACTGGCAAACTGAACGTAAGCGCTATAGTGGTAAGGCATCCTGCAGCTTCATAACTCGAAAAGAAGTGGTGAGCACACTTGTTCCTTCCCGGAGCAATGCAAATTCACAACTCAGTTAACCGCATGGTGCTAATGATTCAGTGATTCTGATGCAGTGAATTTGCTGCTCCCATGGAAAGAGCATGTGTGCTCGCAACTCTCGTTGATCTGAACGTGGACGATGAAATAGAGTAGTAATCAGATGATTCAACGGATGATAAGGGTTCAATCAACTTGCAAGATATATGAACCTAGACAACTACCAGGTGACGAATGGAGAGGATGATGATGTTGGTGTCTGTCCTGTTGATAGTGAGTACGACGGCAAAAAACGCCAACCTGCTGGAGCAACGCGTTGGGTGAAATAGACTGGTGTTTACGATAGGCGTCCTGAAATTGAACTGGACAAATCCCTTGACGATCACCACGAGGTCCATACAGCAGCACCCACTTTCAAATCGCGAGATATACATACCCTGTACATCTCCAAACACTATAGGGCGAGTAAGTACCGCGCGATACCCGCGATACGGACAAGGCCAACATTAGCTCGGAAACCGACAATCTTGAGAGATTCATTGAAATTCTTTTTGTCTGGCTCCACATTCTTGCAACTGATCTGAGTGCCAATTTTTAAAGCAGCGGTGAGCCCCAAGCCGATGTCCTAAATCCAGTTTCATCCCGAGATCGCCGTCCTATTTTATTATAGCCGACCCCGCCCAGAACCACCAGTGTCTTGCTGTTAATGTGCAATATAAGGGCGTTTGACAACACAGAATGTGGACAACACAATGTCGTTGTAAATGGTGCAGACAAACCACGATATGTTACTGTTCTAAGTGTGGAGTTCGACTGCATTTCGATCGTGGATGGAATGCCATGGTGTATACGAGACGCGAACGGTAGCAGACGAAGACACTAAGAAACATTGCTGGACACTTCTTGACGACTATGACATTTTTTCTTCTCCATTACTGCTTGTTCATGTTTGCATTGCTCCACAAACACTTAGAAGACAACATAATCCATTATATCATATTGCATCTTCCCTTCGCAAAAACCAAGATCATTTTGGTACGCGATCCGGCCAACGTTCCCTTTTGGGAACATATAAATATTTCCATAACGCATGGACATATTCAGTTCAAACTTATAAACATGCTAAATTGGTCCAATACAAGCCGACACAAAAGAAAAAAAACTGCAAGAATACGCTGAATTCTTGTGACGGCCAAATAAAGGTTAAGTCCAGATGGGCACATAGTATATAAAAAAAAACAGGAGAGTTTTGCGTGCATATGCGGCAAAGCATTCACGTACGTACACGGCAGAGTACGCGTATGAGACCAAATGCTAGCGTCCGTGGACATCGCGCCGCTCAACCAAAATTAACTGAGCTTTGGCTGACATTCCCGTTGTGCTGGCTACAGCAGAATGCCACTTCTGTTCCTCTGTTCCATTATTATTATTTGCCATGGCGACCCGTGTAAGTCCACCTAACTGGTAAGGCAGGGTTAGGCCTTTTTTCGTTTTCTTTTACTTAACTTGTGTTCATGATTGATCTTGGTTTTTCCATTATTATTTGCCATGGTGACCCGCGTAAGTCCACTTTAAAACTAGTGGTAGTAGTAATATTTATTATTTTACTAGGGCAATCCCCACAGACTGTGAATCTTTTTACAGGGTACCCTGGCAGGGGAGGGTTGAGCCTTTTTTTCTTTTTCTACGAGTCTCATCATGTTCTGTTGAACGTACTAGAGGCCGATGAAAGAAGTGTGCACATGTGGACATGCCATAAGTAGGGGCACATCACCATGTATAGTGCATCACAACATTGGGCAATGCACTTGCCTAAGACCCAAGAGGTCGGGGGTTCGAGCCTCGCAGTCTCACATCTGGCTTCAAAATTCCCTCGACGCAGCTCAACAGATCAAGGTGTGGGTCCTCTGCACTCAGTGGAGTCAAGTCGAGCGAGCTGCAGCTCCCAGTGTCGGAAAGCGGGCTCACGCCCCTACATGGCTACTTCCCCTTGTCTAACCCCCAGGATGAAATGATAGTAGCCGGCTGGCCGAAATTAAAAAAAACACAAAAACGGTTCGGCGGGCTTCTCGTGTGCTCCAGAAGCAGGTGTGAGTCATTTTTAACTGACTAATGAAGTTGTCAAATCATTCCGCAGGCAAAGCGAGCTCCAACTTTCGGACTGGACACTTTCTTCACCAATTCCACGCACCCTCTTCTTGCCCGACATCAGCAGCATCTTTGTATCCTTGTGCAAAAAATCTTCCTAGCCCAAGTCCCGAAACATATTGCCAAGTACAACTGGTTTGTTACCACTAGACCAACACGCAATGCCTTATCACTGCCCCGAGCTAGTTCCTCTCTGTTTTTGAAATCCCCTTTCTTCTCAGCATACTCCCTTTGGTCTAACCTGCCTACTAGCATTAAGACATGCCAGGATATCAGGAAATTCAAAGTCCAGCTTTCCACACTGTCTCATCCGAAGTGATCCCATGTATTACTAATGTGCCTCCCTTTCTTTTTCTCTCCCTATCTCCTTTCCCTCTCTGACAGCATCTTTCTTTTTCTCCCTTTTAGCTTGCCGTGGTTGGCTATCACCTGACCTCTCATGTTTATTGGCAGTCTTCGGACGGGCCAGGAGATGTTGAATAAATAAATAAATAAATAAATTACGGCCGAATTCGCAACATCTTTGTTCGTATTTTTAGATCTGTTTTACGTAGAGAATTATCCAGAGGCTCTAGGCCTGTGAAGGGGATTTAATACTCAATGAAATGTCACGTGTTCAGTAACAAGTACTAATATTACAGTACTAGAGTCCAACTAAAACAAAGAAAGTAAGTACCGGTATGCATGGCCAAGTCAGTTGGTTGGTGTGATATCAGTGTAATGAGTTTAGTGAGGAAAGTGCTGGCACACGGAATGTTTTAATTCGTACACACAGGTTAAACAGTTAGAAGTGAGAGATTGGTAGTAAAAAAATAATAAAAAAATTGCCGCTGAAACTGTTCAAAACCTTTTAACTTTACTGATATCCCAATCATTTCTACTTGCTCCTTTGTTTTGCTCCCCTTCAGGATCATAAAACCCCCATGGACTGGCCTGGCCAACATGTTACTACCCCCTACAGCCATCCAGTTAAAACACAGCAACAGCATACGCAGCCGACAGAGCCTATGATGGCACGACCAAGCTCTACTCGCAATCCTCTAGATCTCATCGTGTCAGAGTCTTTTGTTAGAAATGTACTGGAAGATTCCGACATCGTTTTTCCTTTCCTGGATAGCTTCAACTCAATGCAC